CTAGGTTCCAAAAGGTGTTGTGTATCCATTCACACATGTGACGCTGCAAGGAACTAACTTCTTCTTCTACATAGGTAGAGATCCAGAGCATCAAACGTCAACTGTGCAGGAGCGCTCATGACAGCGCTCTTGCACGGGAAACTCGTCAAAGATGGAGCGACTGTTCGAGTTTCGGCGGCTCTAGAAGTCCAAGTTTTGAATCTGCTTAAGTTATTTATTATTGTCATTTTTTGCTATTTTATTAATGCTAGCAAATGGCGCGCACGCGTTGCGCCCCCAACACAGTTCAGCGGCGGTATGGGATTGGAGCGGCGTTCAATTCCTCAAATTTGGCCTGTTACACTACGAATATTTGACTTCTAAGCTAGATTCTATCCGCTCCATCCACCGATGGCTTCCGACCGACCTCTTCTTCTTCGTCAACCATTGTCCGCTTTTTTCCGGTCTCCGGACTGCCTCTACTCCGATTTATAAATCTCGTGGTAAACTCCGCTATTTCGGTGCATGTCTCACCTATCTTTTTCTTCCTTGCCAATCTCTTCCACGTTTTTCCCGATCTCTGAACTGTCTCTGAGTCATTTATATGCTTGGCGGCACCATCCACTTTAACGCATGCTCCACCCACTATCGGGTGTTCACTTCCTCTTCGCCGGCCTCTATCCATTTTTTCCCGACTTCGAAACTCCTTGGAAGCGATACGTAAGTCTACCAACAAGTTCCGAGAACTTTCATGCATACCCTGCCCACCAATAGCACTTGACTTCTTATCCTTCGCTGACCTCTATCCACTTTTTTCCGGTCTCAGGACTTCTTGGGACCGAATTACAACTTCGCGCAAACTCCGCCCACATTGGCGCACGCTCCACCCACCAATAGCAGTTGACTTCTTTCCTTCGCTGACCTCCATCCACTTTTTTCCCGTTCTCCAGGACTTCTTGGGACCGTGCTATGTTTCGTGGATAACTCCGCCCACTTTGATGCATGCCCCGCCCACTTCCCTTCTCCAACCTCTACCGACCTTTTTCCCGCTCTCCAAGACCTCTCGGAAGCGAACTGCGGGAACGCTGCTCACTTCAGGGCACGCTCCGCCCATTGTGGGCGGGCCTCCGCCCACGTCATGTATGCTGGAAACACCTTAGACATTGCTCCCCTACACCTTTTTTTTCTGCTCTGTAGGCTTTCTCCAACCGAGTTATGAATTTTTCATAAAGCACTGCTTTTTTGGAGAACGCCCCGCCCACCGGGGGTGGGTCTCCCTAATTCGATGTGGCTTACCAATGCACACCTTTACCCACTTTTTGGCCCAGTTTCGAGGTTGTTTTGTCACTGAAATTGAAATCTTGGTCTTCGGTACAGTTCATTTCGATGCACGCCACGCCCACTGTGGGCGGGGCTCCGCTTAGCTGATGTGTTTTGTATTCGTGAGACCTTGCCCACCCATCCCACACTTGACCCGGTCCCTCCAGGCGGATCCCGAGGAGCTAGGGAATTTCGTGACAGACATACAGACGACAGACAGACGACAGACGACAGACAAAGCAGTTATAAGTGATCACTATTACTATTTTCCATTTACTTCCAGCAAAATAATTTTTCACTACTCATTCTTTCTCCCACTCCACATCAATAATCAATAAAGAAGGCTTGCCTTCGAAACAGTAAAAATAATCATCAAAAGAGTAATCATGCAGCAGAAAAAGGTTATCAACGAAGACTTTCAAGCGCTTCTGTACATATGTATGTATGCCCTGTTTGAGCGCTCAGTTATGGGGGACTACGGCTCACTAAGGTTTATTGATATACATACAGGTCATTGAACTTTACAAATAACAATACAAATAACAATGTAGATAGAATAACAAATTGAGCCCAACAAAATACAATAGAACAAAATCAACAAACGTTGCTAACAACATAACACAAAATTACAAAGGAACAATGACAAATCATGATACAAGCAGCTCAGCTTTAGAATCTTACAGCAAAAAAGCATCAAAATATCACCTCAGCTTTGGAATCTTACAGCAAAAAAGCATCAAAATATCACAAGTGACCTTTTCGATGCTACTTCGACCAACTAATCACTGGACTCGACGGTGCAAGCATCTGAAAGGGGCGCTTAATAATGAAAGCAAGGCACTTCAATCATGAAGAATTTCGGCAAGTGCTTTTAAATAAACAATATGTGCCTTTATTCTTATTTTTACTCATAATATAACCTCATCCAACCAATCTATCACGGCAGGGCACTAGTTGCATGGCTCCGGCACGCTCTTTCGCGCCACCCCCCCCGTAAAGTATGTGGCGCAGGTGCGGCAAGGATGAGAAGCAGGTCTTTCACATTAGCTAGGTCTAGGCAGGAGCATGATGGAATGAGAGAAAACGCCTCTCATGGTCAGCTGTCCAGCCTGATCTCGTCCGCGGCTATCGCTTTAGGGGAGCGGGGGGGGGGGGGGGAAGAAGGAGTCACAGGACGGTTGAATGCCACCTAATTATGCCAGGCTTGAATGCCAGGCTGTTTTTCCCCCTATAAGAGTTCAAAACTGGTATACTTGAGCTGTGGAACTGGAATAGTCATTGGCAGTCTGGACTCCACGATTTTTTCACCGGCTTTCACCGCTGGTTGACGAAGAGACACGATTATCTCTGGATGAGAAGGCGATAGCATACATTATACGAAGTTTTACTATAACAAACAGTATCAACTTCGAACAAAGAAGGTGAGGAAGGACAAGAGTAAAAGTAGAAATTTGTTCAGGATTCCATGTTCTCATACTTACAGGTCTCTCACGTTCCTCGATCTTCTTTTTTTCTGCTAACTCCATCTTAGACTTTTCCATTGCTTGCCGCTTCTCCTCCTAAAAAAAGCAGTGCCTCAAGGCAGCGAAAACCATAGCATGAGAGACGAAGTGCAAGTAGCAGACGATTCATGGGCGAAGGAATCTACTTACTATGTTCGAAATAATGGACGCAGGTGATAATCCAGTTTCTATTTTCATGTCGGCTAATTTTTTCAAGTGGTCCGGTGGAAATCCATTCACCAGCTTCCATGGTCGCTCTTTTGAAAACAAATGGTTGCCCACAGCTACTGTTGTAATGCAAACCACAGCTACTGTTGTAATGCAAAAACCTACCAATTCGGTGGCTTAGGAGAGTACTTGTACTCCGACTGCTTCTTAGCCAAGTCATTCAGAAGGGAGCATCGCCCTATTATCGACCACTTACGCAAACCGTCGGCATCATGATCGTACTGCTGCTGCACCGAATGACGGCCTAGCGCAATGTGGGCTGAAAGAGGAGAACTGAAGAAATGATAACTTAAGTGCAGCGAGAGCCAGACAAATTTCTATAGAATACCTTTTTCTAGTTCTGTGAAAGGTACCTCCCGACGTTCTTTTGTCAAAGGGTCGATGACCATTGCCTGACGGTCTTCGCGCGGTCTAACAACTGTCTGATAGCGAAGCGAGCATTGACGAGGCGACCTGAACAACATTTTGTACAGAAGTGAGCGAGCGGAAGGTAAATGGTATTAAGCTTTCTCATGGCGGAGACTTGGTTACTGTGCAATCGCGACATCGATAGCGCTGTCGCCTTAGTAAAGTGCAATCGCCACGATTGTGCCGGGATGCCAGATCCTGAGTGGAGAGGGGTGCCCAGCAGGGTGAAAATCGTGTCGAGGACGTGGTCGCAGAAGTGCGACCCCCCAAATCGAGGTCGGTTCACCCAATTTCTTCACGATTTGGGGCGCGGCCGCGGCGAACGAGGACGAGTCCGCAGCGCCCGCGAGCTGTGGTGGTGGGGTACCCCCCAGGAGGCCCATCGCGCGGCAAGAAGGCAGAGTGGGCGTGATGTGCAATGTAGGA